TACTTTTTTTTAGCATTTATTAAAAATAAAAAAGAATACATATGAAAAAAATTTTGTTCAGTATATCCAGTGTTTACTGTAATCGTGTCCGATGCTTTTATCACACTTTTAGATATTAATAACTTTAAGGAGTATAAATGGGTACTGAATTAATCATTATTAATGCATTATACAATAATATACAACATTGTAATAATTATTCCTTTAAAAATCTAATCGCGGGGTCGAAATTTTTGTTAACTTACTGCTCTAATCGTTTTCAATCGTTTGCTGTGTATAAGAGAACTAATGAAAATATCTGAGAAAGAATTAGCTTTGTTCGTTATATGTGTAGTTGCTTATAACCGTTGTCCGTTATATCCGCTTTCTACTGTGGAAATCTGCGTTTTCTCTTTCTTGTACATATAAATCATTTAAAAATTCAAAAAATTGTTAAACACTGCTGTTATTAATTTTTGCCTCAAAAACAGGACAAATTACCTATAGTGCAATGGTATGAAAGTTTATAGAGACCAAAGAAAGTTTATAGAACAAAAGGCGCGTATTAATAAATCCCTATTTTTATCTTTAAATACTTATTGGTCTTTATACAGACCTATGCTCTCGAAGCAGACCTTTAACATGTATTCTCTTCCAATCACCTTCTTTAAAGATTAATTCATCTTTATAATGGCCTGTGGTTTCTATACAGTTCAATTCGACAGTATACAACTAATATGTGTTGTCCAGACTTGCAAGGACCCAAAAACACTATAGGTGAATGAATTAATAAATAAATAATAAATCGATCAGATATAACCCTCAGATTTTACCACAGATGCAGGGCATGCACTTGCATGCTGCTACATTTCTACAAGATTCTTTTGCGAAGGTGACAACGGAATGAGTGGGCAAATAGTCCTCAGCTTCTTTTGACTTAATTTTCTAAAAAATATAACTGTATTAAGAATACTACGCGTTTTCTTATATATTTTCATTATTATTTTATTAAAATTCTGACCATTCTGGCCGATACCCTTCATTATCTAATTTAATCGAAGTTGAAGAATTTTTCGACGAAACAATTAATATGACAACTTCAGCAGAATACTCGTCCCAGAAGAAATAAAACAATAATTTTCACAGTATATAACATATTTTCATAGATTTATATTTTATTTTTTATTTGTGTATACATATAATCCTTAAAATTATATCGATTTATGTATATATTTAGACTTCTTACGATAAGAGAAACCGAATAGAATGAAACAAAATATTGGACATCTAGTAATAGAAATTACAACAAATATAATGAACTATAGAAGTAATACGATAATTTAAAATAGATTAACGGAACGAATAGTCAAACGTGGCCATAACGAACTTTGCGACCATACATATTTGCTTAATAAATTAAATTGTTTGATTTCACTAACAGTTGAAACATTGAAGTTTTGAATTTAATTCGTTATGACCAAACAAGCAAATTCGTAATGACTATAATATTGTTGTTGAAAATAGGATTTAATTAAATAAATTGATGTATTTAAGTCTATAAACAAATGTATTTTTTTTACTATTGTTTTAATGGCAAAAATCTTCTTTGATTAGAAAGTCTTAAACGTGAACACAGTATTTTTTATTTACTTTTTTAAAACGAGATTTTTTATTAAATAAATTATAAGCTTCGCACACAATTTGTTTTGTTAATAATAGTAAAAGGTGTGAATTTAGGCAAAATATCAAAAAGTTTATAATAGAAATGCTACAACTGAGACAATAGAATATTTTACGCATCTTCACTTTTACTTCGCTGACAAAGGAATTCGCATGTTCAAATTTCGATTAATCACCACTGGTGGAAGCGCAAATATGAAACCATTCAACGTTCGATGATCGTTAATATCTCATCATTTATATGCATGATGAGTGTGTGCGTGAGTCTCCGAGTCTAAGTTCACAATAGACCCTAGGGGAATATTTGTATTTTTGTTGAAGATATTTTCGATTGTGATTCTCAGCAAAAGTAAAATTTTTGCATAATAGAACTTTCGATTTTATTATCAAAAAAATTATTGTTACTTTCGTTGTAAACAGAATTGAATTTCTATAGATTTCATTTTTTGTGGAAGTTTTATGGGTTTCTTTTAGTTAATTTTAAATTCATTTATTGTATTTTTGTTGTTGTTGTTTGGTTGTTTTTAACAAAGAACTAATAAACTATTCTTTTGATATTGTTTTTCGTTGTATATATGTATGTATTTGTTTTTTTGTATTTAACTGCCTATTGTATTATGTGTCATAAGTCAGTGTCTCTGTGAATTCAACTCTACAAGGTTGTTGGTTCATCTATTTTTATGTTAAATGTTAATCTCTTATAAAAATAAAAACAAGAAACAAAAATGCCTATCATCAGTATAAATATTTCTTAGTACATATGTAAATATATATAGGTGTGTGTATATGATATTACATAGATATTTAAGATTTGTACAGTGTTTAATTTTATGTTTATAATTATATAATGATGTAAACTATAAAATACGATATGGAAGTTTTTTTCTTTGATATTAGTATGTGTTAATGTCTATATCACTTACAGTATTTACAATTCGAATATATAATGATGTCATATTTATTTTTATTTTATTTATTGTTTTCGAATGTGTTCGGTTTTTTATTGTAATAATTATTGTAAAATATTGGCAGGATTTATTTTAACATTTTATTAAGGAGTTTCCAGTTTACAAATTATTTTAAGTCAATATATAATATATCTAGTATATGCTAGTACAGACATATGTGTCTTGCCTGACTATGTTATTTTGGCCAGACTAAATTATATCATTTCAAAATGCTAACATGCTATATCGAAATAGACATGCTATATTTCATAAAGAGGTTTGGCATTTAGCACATACTTTGCTATGAACGGTCCAAAATTTGATATAATCCCACACAAACGTATCTCCTAATTTAAGGCATTTTAATGGAAATCTGATAGTTCTATACGCATTTTCTATCCGAACTAGCGGTAAGTCGATAAGTATGTTTGAAACATATATTAGTTTTTTTATTTCAATTCCCAAAAAAGATATTGTGTGTGCCACAGGCGACGAAAAGATAAAAAATGGAAACCATTTAAAACGATGTTATTTTTGGCCCTGTCGAAATTTTTATATCCTCCACCATGAGGATGGGCTATAACTAATCGGGAATCAATATTGATAATTTTGGGTAGTAAAATCCTTTTTGGTACATAGATGTAGGGGTACCGTTATATGGGGGCTACACTCAAATTTTGTTCAATATTCATAATTATACCCTTCACCACACTGTAGTGCAGGGTATTATGTTTTTGTGCATATGTTTGTAACAGGCAAAAATAAAAACGAGATAGGTCCATGGTTCCTTTTGAGAATATGCATAGATTCACTTTCTGAGTCAATTTATGTCCGTCCGTTTGTTGATGTCATTTGGACCATGAACAAACCCTATTGAAATTGATGGAAATCGGTTTAGATTTAGATATATCTCCCATATATATTTTCGTCCGATTTTATGTAAATGGTGCATCAAAGTCCCTATATATATTTCGATTTGCACGAAAATTGGCATAGCGTACTGAATTATGTCTAGAGTGATGTGTGCTAATTTTCGTGAAAATCATTTCAGATTTAAATATAGCTCTCATATATATTTTCGTCCGATTTGATGCAAATTGAGTAAGACAAGACCCAAGACCCTTAAGTTCGTTTAACTTTAAGATCACATATTTACGTTTGTTGAATGTCATGTCAAGGTTCCTTCGAAAAGGCCGAAACGTGGGTCAATATTAATAGTTTTAGGTACGGACATGTGCTATACAATTAGAACTCAAAATGCGAAATTACAGTTAATTCGATTGAAAAGCGGGTCCAAAATCCTAAAAATACCGAGTGTTGGGGGGTACCGTTATATGGGAACTCCAAAACCTGGACCGATATATACCATATGCAATACCAAACATCCTAGGAATACTAGAAAAATTTATTCTGATCAAGAATATATAAACTTTATAGGGTCTCCGGTGAATATTTCGAGTTGTTGCAAATGGAATGACAAATTTACTGGGAAAGCGTTAAGTTCGGACAGGTCGGCATTTTTCGATATGGGTGAAGGAAACTAATATAGGAACTGAGTTTTGTTGAAAAGCATGGATAAAATTTGTATTGTAAAAAAACTTTCGGCAATGTTTGTACGAGTTGAGCTAAACAATTGACCTGTACTAACCATTGGACCAATTATATTTTTACCCACAAGGGATCAAAAACTATGACAGGTTTATCAATAACATTTCCCTCCCAGTATGAATTATAAGTATTAAATACCAGAAACTCCGAAAATTATAAGAGGGCTATACCAAAAATTATATTTATACGGATACGGTAAACGGATGATTTGATTTTTTTTTTCAAAATTCTGAAATTTTTAATTTTAAAATATATTTAATCCGAAGACAGCTACATTTGATCACGTTAAATAGAATGCGCTTCCTCAAAAAAAAAAAAAAAAAAAAAAAAAATTAAAAAATCTACAGTTTCCCTTCAATTTATCCAGCAAACACACCTTAAATAAATTTCTTTTAAATAAAAATATTTTTTTGTGTATTCAATTGTTATCATATCTCAAGTGATCATTTATTTTTTTATCTTCGTCACAATTATTTCGTGTAAAACAACTTAACTTGAAATAATTTGTAAACTGACTCTTCTGATATGATATAATGCGAAATAACTTAACAATTAAATTATACAATATTCCAATAAAGTTAATCAGATATGGTCTATTTGGTATTGTAAATCTACTTCTATATACAAATTACATTCAACTTTCTAGTGATTTGATTGAATACAGGGTAAATATGTATAAATTGTGTACGAAAGTTACACGACTTTACAGTCTCATTATAGGTGTGTTACATTTATATTTAAATTTATTTCTATTCACTATCCACGCTCTATGTCTACGGAATGCAATTTAGACATTTTGTAAATGTTTCGATTGCTGCTTAGTTTTACTTGAACTCAGTATATTCCAAAAACGTCTAAAACAACCAGGTTTCTTTTCTATGGCCACAAATCTCTCCTCCTCCAGTATGGTGTCCAGGATGTAATAACTGCTGAGATTGAATGGTGGTGGTGGCAAAATCGGAGGTTGTCATGATATTATACAATTTTTGCCATCGCCATTGCCAGCAGTCGAATTGGTACTGCTGACAGCCATGGGTCCACCAGCACCGTTGGCCGTTGTTACACCACCAATGCTGTTGTATGTATTCGCCTGTTCCATGGCCTGCTTCTTCTTTTTCTCGTAGGCAATGGCATCGTTGGGTACATAGGAGACACGCACACCGCCATAGTGTTTGCGTGCCGGCAAACGGTAAACATAATCGTCCATATCACTGGAGGAACTGGACGAACATGTCGAGCAAATGCTGGCTGCATCACAATTATCCGAATTTCTTACAGCACTTGAACCAGCCTGTGTCTGTGCGTTGTGCAATCGCAAATTGGTCTGATTGATTTGCATTTCGGAGTTGCTACGTGATTGGTTGCGTTTACGTCGTCGCCGTCTAGCGTTCGAGTTGTCTGTGTAGCTCTTCGAACGCGACATGGTGTCTTGAATACTGTGGAAACGTACCTCTTTAGTTGGGTGGCGATTATTTTCTTCGTCCTCATCGTCGTCATCATCATCGTCATCGTCTTTTATGCGTTCGTAATTATCTTGAGGTGAGCTATTAAACCCATTGTCGTTTTCATTATCCAAATCCAGTTCATTGGTAATTTCCTGGGTGGATTGGGTCATATCTGAGGCAGTGGGTGAGTTCAACATGATTTTATCAATACTCTGATAACTGTGAGAATCTTCACCCTTCGATACTAACATATCGGGAAGGGAGGCGGTTATGTTGGGATCTCCAAATATAGTCTTGTCACCATCACAAATATTATCTAAACTAATACCCAACTCGGTCAGATCGATAGGTGGTGGATGGGCCGGTCTAGGTATACCGGGCACTCCAACTGCTTCCATGTTGCGTGCAAGCATTAATCGGCCTAAATCTTCCCGTCTCTGCCTCTCTTGTCGTTCCAACAGATCTCCTGCACTGCCCGAACTTTTGCCACCATGACGATCTTTGCTATGTGAACCCTTACCGGGTCGTGGAGATCTGGCTATTTGGCTGGTAGTGCTGGCACGATGAGTTGGTCGTAATTGTGGACCTGAACTGGTGTCAGATGGTGTTGGCGGTTCACCTTTACTGCAGGCAATCGAACAATAGATTGTTCCACGACGTGGCAAGAAAGGTCGTCCCAACAGCGAACATCGACAGGTGCAGCACGAGAAGCACTGATCGGTGGCATGCCAATGTTGGCCATCGTGTGACATTTGTCCCTGATCGACACCGATAACTTCGCCGCAATAATCACAGTATTCGGCGAACATGGTATCGAAACAGCTGAGGCAGTACGGTTTGCCATCGCGCATTATGTAACGTTGACCTCCTAGCTGGTGATCGCACTCGAAGCATGCAAAATGTTTCATATGCCATGTGCGACCTTCTGCCTCGGTGCATTCGTCAGAGAAGATAATCTGGAAATAGAGAATTGTAATTTCTTTTAGATTTGTATATATCATGGAAAAAGTGGCTTTTGTTTAAATATTCAACATAAGGAATTATATCAATAGGATAAATACGTTTTCTTTTCATTAATTTATTTCCCAATCTCGTCGAACCTCTTTTTTGCAAATATAGAAGATTTCCCAAGAGTTATTGGAGACACTTATACTTTAGGATTTCATTTGAAACCCGATGGTAAATTTGTCAGTTTATTTATCGTAGACCGTTTATACAAATTTCCGTTATTCTAATAGATAACGATGAAATTTTAGATAAAAATGCTCGCAGCTATGTAATAATTTGTTTTTTTTTTTTTGATTTTAATTTTTTTAATATCTCAAAAAATTGTGGAATTTACAATATCAATAAATGTGCCCACAACTATGTGATATTTTCTGCAATCCCAAGCCATTTTTAATATCCCAAAATATCAGCATTTACGGCCTAGTGGCGTCCACAATTAGACTTGCAGTCATTTATGTTTGCCCGACTATGTCAGCATTCTTAAACATGTTTCCTTGTTTATTTTTTCTTGATTTTACTTTAAATGGATTTTATGAATTAAATTGCTAACTACCTAAGCTTGACGTCAGTATGTTCGTCGGACATCCCATCGTCTTTTTCGGTTCTTATTATTGCCTTCACTTTAAAGCAATCAAATTAAAGCCAAATCCCCCATAATAATATTAAATATAATAATGCATCGTAAAAAACTACTTAGCACCAGAATCATCTCGGTTTGCTTTTGAGATATGGAATCATTTCGCCCAACGAAGGATTGGCATGACATTCAAAAAATGCTTTGCCAATGGACAGACAAATTACTGCTGTCACCGACGAACAAGCTGCTTCGGTAGATGTATGCCTTCACCTTCCAGGGTAAAAAGAATAGCAAAGAAAAACGAACACATATTCATATTGTTGTGTTTAGCTTACCTCATCACATGCCGAGCAACGTGGCTTTTGGGTTTCAGCATGATGTCGTCCGCAATAGAGGTTACCATCACGATGGAAATATATTAAATCCACCAGTAATTCCTTGCAGACACAGCACACAAAACAGGCAGGATGCCAGCAGACTTGTGCGCCCAGACGTTGGGCAAAGACCACAATGTCACCGGAGGAAAGTTGTTCGTTGCACTAAAAAAGAAAAGAGAAAAAAAACAAATAAAATAAATATCATTGTGTTTACACAAGCCAATGCAAGGCAGGAAAAAAGTGTTTTACATGTTTACAAATGGATTTGTATTTTGCAGATATAAGCAAATTAAGAAGATGTAGTCTCGCAGTTGAGTACAAAATAAGATTCACTTTTTGATACGGTGATACAGTGGTTTAAGGTTATTGGTTAACTTGGCAAGAGGGGTGGTGGGCGACAGATGTTGATATATATTTAACACTTAGTTTTATATATTATGCAATTTGTTAGTGACAGATTTCGAAGATATTTTGAAGGAGATATTTTTCCTAGAAAATTGTATTTTTATAAAAAAAATGTTTAATTTCGGGATAATATAAAATAGCGGGGGCATTCTGTGAGGGAAAACCATCTAGAAGAATATAGAAATATAGCCTGTTAAATCTGTCTATAGTCGAGCCCAAAATTTCAAACAATTAGGAAGAGGTATTTGAGCTAAATTAAAGCAAGCTATACACATACAAATCTGAAATCTATGAGCAATTGCATGTCAATCACAGAGTGGCTTGGGTTCTTTGGTGTGTATGTAAATCTGGACGGAGAAACACTTATTATTTGGTGCATATTTTGCATGAAATCAGACGGAAATATAGAGCGGTTATATCTACATATTCATACATTTTATAAAATCCAATACACGTTATTCTGGTACGATGAGCTAACATTCATCCCAATCGGCCAAATTTTAGTTATTTGGTACACAATTTAGATAAAATCGGATGAAAATATGAATGGAAGTCATATATAAACCTGAACCGACTTCCCTCCAATATGCAATGCAATATTTCATGTAAAGCGAACAAACATAGGATCCTCGGTAGACCATTTGCATAAAATCGGACAAAAATATATGTAGCAGCTATATCTAAATCTAAACCGATTTTAACGAAACCTTCCACAGTTTAGGTTAAACTAACTTCAGTAAGTTGTGCAAGACGGTGTCTCAATCGGATAAAACTTGACAGTTTGGTGCACCATTTACGTAAAATCGGACGGAACTATATATGAGAGCTATATATTATATAAATCTGAACCGACTTTCTCCAATCTCAATAGGGTTCCTCCTTGCGCCAAATAAGTAAACTGTGCCAAATTTCATCCAATACAGATCATAAATGCGACCTGTACATTCATTAAAATTTAACATGGACACACAGACGGACGGATATGCATAAATCGACTCAGAAAGTGATTCTGTGTATATACTCTAAAAGAATCTATGAATAAAAGAAAATATGCGCATCGGCCATTTTTAATAAAGATAGAAATTTTTTCAAAAATTCTTTTTAAAAATTACTAGTTATTAAAATATTTTATAAAATTTCTAGTAACAATTTTTATTTAACGACACATAACAAAATAACACCATCCATTGGGTAAATACAAACAGTTTAAAGATGTTTTTTTTTTTATATTTTCAACATCTTTCGTGGTTATTAAAATAGGATTTGTGCCTTGAGGACACATTATTATGTTTCCAAAACGACGTTTCACAGCGAAAGGGGTTTCATGGCACTTAACTTTAACCATAAATACCATCTATACATCTGAAATGTGGCAGAGGTTTTTATTTCCATTTAGTGAAAGTGTTCCCTAGAGGTAAACGGGTATAAAAGGAGCACGACGAGCATACTCGTGTGTGTGTTTGTTTTACTTTTAGTTGGTGTGGGTGTCTATATCAATAAAATAACTGAGGCTATTCATTAGGTTTTTAAGTTCAAGGCTGGAGTTGTTTCCTTTGATTGCCTGTAGGGGTTATATGTATTGAATGTTGCGGTTGTAGATTAACACCGAAAATATGCTTGAAGGTTATTGGGAAGATAGAAGATAATGTTTTGGTTACTTTTAATATTTAAAAGTATTTTTATAACAAAATATTAGAACTAAGGACTGAAAACATTAGACCTAAAGGGTTTTAGAGCAGCTGCATTGTACAAATCTGAAGAATATGCAGAAAATATGTATTCATTGAAGTGATTGAGTTCTGCTTTCAAAGTCAATTTTCTCCGCGGAAAAAATTATTTAAATGTCAAAGACTGGACCGATGTCAAAGTATATCTGAATGGACCGATTTGATGGTATTCTGCGCATATTTCGACTCATAGTATATTCCAAATCTTGGGCTTAACAACAAGATTGCAGTATTTCATTACAAACATAACTACATAATAAACAATAATAAAAACGACTACACATAATAGAATAAAATTCTACTTTGATTCTTTTGCTTTCAATACAAAGTTCCACTTCACATAAAATCCTTGAGTGCGCACATATGAGCAGGTCATAGAGATGTGTCTGAAAGGCTTTAAGGATGTTTTACGCTTTGTTGCTTCTTCGTTTTTTTTTATTTTAGAAACTTAACGTCTTCTCTTTGAAAAGTGAAGAAAAAACACAAAGCTTAATTGTCACCACAAGCCAACGGAGCAGAGCAATTCAAGTGTTATCCAACTTATAGGAAATTATGTCATTACAACAAAGAAGGCAAAGAAGTAAAGAAAATTAACGTGGAAATAGAAATGTTGTCGGCACAAACGCACACACACACTCGAACACTCACCACGAAACACACAAAACAATAAAAGCAAAATAAGAAACATTAGCGAAAACCAATGTTGGTTGCATGGTTTCAATTTATGTATTTTATGGTTTTTTAGTGCCCCCTTTTTACACTGCTTCCCCTCGACAACATTACTAACTTAACTGTCGCGTTTTAATTTCAAAGCAACCGACACTTAACATTGTTTCATTAAAGGTCTCTCACTCTCATTCCATCTTTTTATTTCGCTCTGGGGTAATTGAAAAACCAACTATGTAAAAGTTTTACCATCACCCTCAATATCCTACAGTCAGGCTCGGCCCAAACCATCACACCCACCACCTTCAATCCAATGAAACATTTACTGCCAATGACTGCAAATGACATTAATTAGTTGGATCCATGCTGTGTGTCTTGGGGTTTTTGCAACATTTAGTTCTTGTTCTTGTTGTACGTATAATGTACTTGGTCTCATTTCGATTCTAATAAATAGTCCGGGTTATAATTAAACCGGAAAAAAGTTAAGATTTTGTTTAAATGTTGCGGAAAAACGGAAGTAAAACATGAAAATTTGACGAAGTTGAATGAAAGGACGATGAAGAAAAAAAACAAAGAACAAATTGTAAATTTTATATTTGTGTAGTTCGTACTAATATGATATAGGGAAAAAGTTCGGGAAGAAAGAAATAGAAGGAAAAATAACTCATTAACAACAACAATGGTAATTACCAAAGGAGGCTGGCAGGCTGGTGAATAATGTGAACAGTTTAGCAAAAATTGTTCTAAATGTTCTGTAGGGAATTAAGCAAGTTTGTGTTATAACATTTAAAGTATGAATTTTTTATGTTTGTATTTTATAGTTTGTTTATTTATGAAATTTTGTATGCTCAATAAAAAGAATGTCATAGTTAAAAAAAAATTGGTTGAGCATTTATATCTTGACCTTACCTTACAAAACAGCTTAGTCTTTTCAATTTCCAAAACTAATTTATATACACATATCTTTCATATATAAACCAGTAAGAAAAGCAGTAAAGTCGGACGGGGTCGACTATAAGATACCTGTTTAATTTAGATTTGTAGAAAAATAATACTTTTTATTGACCCCTGTTGAGATCTTCAATTATTAGTTAAAATGTATGCGCTACGGTTTATTGCAACCTTGGGTTAGCGCTTTTGACGTTTAACTAATAATTATCTATCACTTGCTTTGCCGCCTCCTTTAAGCATCAAGGAGTACCATACTGTCAGTTGGACAGACATCCACGCAATATCGTTTGCGCACAGCCATATCGTTGCCAAAGGTAATATTGTTACCACTACTCAACCACCTATCAATAAACCATTGAATATTATTACAAAACCTCAAACGGCTCTATTCGTACACCCCCTCCCCTACGGTCCGCTGCTCGACGCATTCGGCGTACCGACTCCCAACGGCGGAGCCCCTCTGAGCTAAACATACCCTTCACCACTTTGGGTATATTCAACAGATGGAATCCTAACAGACGTCGCATTTTTAAAGGACCATTAACATGAAATTAAACATGTCATTCTGCAATCTATACTAATCTTTGGTCAGATATAGAGTTGCTTCTTACAATGGGACAAAATTATGTAAATAAATTTGAAGCAAAATATCGAAATCTAAATCGATTTCATCGAAACTTGTCACATGTTAGTTTACATTTATTTCAGTATGTTTTGTGCATTCGGCTACATTTTGAGTTCATTTACTTATAAATCCAAATTTCGTGTAAATTGAAGGTTATATAGGGACTTTGGTGCACCATTTACCTAAAATCGGGCGAAACTATATATGGGAGCTATATCTAAATCTGAACCGATTTTTACGAAATTTAACACACATTTTTCTAGACTTAGTTCAGTACGCTATGCCAAATTTCGTGCAAATCAAAGCATTTTTTAGGGACTTTGGTGCACTATTTACCTAAAATCGGACGAAAATATATATGGTAGAGTGCAGGATTTAGGTACAAATATTGTACAATTTATTTTTGGGTGAACTGATAGGGCAGGAATTCCTAAATTTGGGATAAAATACCTCATGTTTCAGCAATGACCTGCTTTCTGAACAATTTCGATATACATCCATTGTGACAAAGTGATCCATCCATTGAAATATAATTGTATCACCCAATTTGGAATATTTTTAAAGATTTTCAGAATTTTTCACGACCCGAAGAACTTTACAATGTTTATACCATACTGTTTAAATGGAAAAAAGCTCCATAGTTACTTTGAGAATATTCTCAATCTTTTTATGCGTCTCCGTCTGTCTGTGGATGTAACATTTTTAACAAAGTACAGGTCGCATTTATAATCTGAATGAGATGATATTTGGCTCAACTCATTTATATGCGCTGAAGTTGAGTCCTTTGT